CTCAAAAGTCTACTAGTTTCCTTTTACTCTTCTCTTTACTATTCTCTCATTTACTTTATTCCATTATCAGAGGCGGAGGCAGCGGCGAACAGGGGCTAGGATCACAGGCTGGAGGATCATGCTGCAAAGAGGTGGCAGCACTACTGTTTTACTTCCTCAAGCGGACAAAACAACAGCTAAAGCGTACATGTAAACCCCGCTACAGCCTTTAAACTCTTATATAATCTAGCTAGCTAGACAGGAAGCCAGGGGCCTCCCCCCCCTGGCGTCTTTTGCCCCAACGGGGACTGAAGGGCACGTGACTTGCGTACGTGCCCGCCTAGACGTTAAATAGACACACACACACACACACACACTAGTAAAGCCCACGAGTCTACCTCCGTAGCTGGCGGTGTGTCTCTCACATGAATTGCATGGAGAGCCAGTCAAATCTGGGTTTATTTAGATCCACTGATGTAGGTTGGAAAAAGACAATTTGAAATAGGCTACTCAAGTACTGGACGTTTTAGTCATACAGTTTAGTAGTAGGTTCAGGATCCGATACGTCGCCAGCTTAGGGTTCTATATTTAACAATAATAAAGCTGAGACAATGCATGCCTTGAAAAAAGCGAGGTACAAAGGCGTTAGAGCTGAACAAAGAAGTGGGACTTAAATAATGTTTTTTTCTGGTATTTTCTTAAGTGACATAGTAGGGATGTTAATAGGACTATACATTAGGTGCATATTTACATGACATTATCACGTTCATCTCTCTATCTCAAACTTCACCCACTCTAACTTATCACTCTGCTATATGGCTCAATAGTGTTATAAATTGTTATTAAACGCCGGAACTTAGTCATAATATACTCAGTAGTTTGCCTATGCTTGCTCATGGGGCCCCTCTCTCTTCTAGTTTGCATCTGCGTCCCTTCAAAATCTGCCACATGTCTACCGCTGTCAATTCTGACAGCACAAACAAAGACACAGCAACACTTCCGCGTTTATCAAGTGTGTTTAATCTTGTCTATACATAATGTCTTGGATGAAGTCTAGTTTGAAACACCCCAAGGGATAGGTTTAGGCGGGAGTAAAGAGACCTTTGAACATAGCCAGACAAGCTCCGTAAACAGATCTTGATGTGATAACACATCTTGCAACTTTCTGATGATGGAAATTATCATTAAAGATATAAGAGCTTTCCAGACCATCCTAACATACTTCATTACAATTATGTATGAATCATCGTCACTTCAAACCTTTCAGAGTGAAGCAGACAGTATAATTGTGCCAGACAACTACCTATTCACTCAACAGTGGTATCGGAAAGCCCCTAAATAATACAAAATGGCGCAAGGTCTGGAAGAGGGTAGCTCCATCAAACCTTTTCAGAACACTTCCTTAAAGATTATCGCAACGCATTTATACAACTCAACGATAAGGAGACATCCGTACATCCAAACGCCACTACCTGTACTCACTGAGCACATGAATTTTACTAACGCAGACAACATGTTCTTCATTGTGGTTGCGCCCTATCATGGGTGAGAAGCTACTTGCCCTTCACACCATTGGAATTACTCCATTCATTGAACTTTCCCCTCAAGTTCAACAAGCAAAACAACCCACTCGAGGCGTAAATCTGAAAGCCCCTCACAACCTCGATACACCAGAGCCCAAGAGCGAGCTTCCACAGAAGATGCCAAAGACCGAGACGAATCCGCTTGGGAAGCAAGGATGGGATTTGGAGACGGACAAGGTACAACTTTTGGGTATGAAGATGGGCCGAAAGGAGTTTGATGGTATGTGATGTGGGTAAGTATCCGATCGAGATAGATGCTGAAAGATTCCATCAGATATGCTCCATGAGTTTGATCTTACAGAGGAGGCATGGAACCCTATAGTGGAGGCTTTGGGAGATCTTTGGCCGGAGAGGAACGAGAAGGGAGAGACTGTTACTAGACGGGGCTCTTCTTGTTCTTTGGACTAAGATAAAGAGGGTTTAAGGAGCAAGAGGTGTGGATGATAAACTCAGTCATCGGACACATAGCGGATTCTGGTTATCTATATGGAACCATCTATTCCGGCATTGTTTCTTGTTGAGGGTCAATAGGGATAGTTAAGGTGGAGAAAATCCTAGTGGTATACTTCATTTTATGAAGGGAATTCACCTGTTGTGCCAGGGAGGTTGGTATATCCTGTTCCATAACAGACACGTATGCCATACAGTACTACAAATTAAGTATATTCCACGTGAAGCTGACTTGTATGGAGTGAATTTGCACAAAAAAGCAGGGTGAAAAATGGTTGTGAAAATTAAGATTCGCAAATCACAGTCCCTGAATTGTTCAATTCAGAGAGCAGGGACTTTCGAATTGCTATGTATTAATTTGTGCCAAATATTCTTCGCATACATGAAGAAGCTTACCCCTAGACTTTACTCGCATTCGCAGGGATCGAGGCGTTTAGCAAACTAACAGCCCCCCCACTGGCTTCCCCACGTGGCCCCCACGCCTTTCCCCCTCCCTTCGCTTAATGTATTTACATGGCCCGAGCGCCTCCTACGGTAATTCTTTCCACACTCCCACAATATAAATGACCGAAACGCCCATTCCATCAATTATACTCTGGGAATTCTGTCGCAATCAGATTGTCCGGTACAGTAAGGAAATGCGTCTAGCTCGCCCACTTGTAATCACAAAGGCTACATTGTATTTCCTCCCCTGATAATTCCAGCATCCGACTCAAGTATCTTGACAATGAATGTCATGAAATGGTCAAAATCTTTAAAGTTTATCTTAACACTTCAGTCAAGACTCATCTTTTTGTCAATGGTATTTGCTTCGAACACGGTTTTGGAGTTGCCAGATGGGGTTTGGCGGCCTTGAGACGGGCATATTGATACGTCTGCCTAAGAAATGTAACACCGCCAATCTAGAGGAGCAGCTCCAGAAGAATTAATTTAGTAATACCTAGCTCCGAAATTATGTTTGGAATGGTGCCGGCTTTGCACCAGAAGGAGGCAGCGATGGTGTGAGCCACGTGTACTTGTGCTATAGTCTGCTTATGAGACACTGCTATGAGAAACTGGGAGTGAGTGAGTGAAAGCAAAAGAATACAAATAAATACTGTGGCAACTTCGGCAGGGTGGTAGGTGATATTCATAAAGCATTAAATTAGATTGAGTGTAATTTGGCAGGGCTCTGAAGGAAAATGAACTCGACTTATATAGATTATATAGATGGCAGGGATGACATAAGCTTCTGGTCGTAAATATGACTAATTTCTTCATTGATGGATAGGTAGGCACACCCTCTCGCTTAACTTTCAACACGCCTTTTCGCTTCACGTTCAGGAATACACAATTCGCTGCGCTTGATAGAGTTTATTTGGGTTTTATTTTGGACAAAGGTAATATAGATTTGGTTGAATGGAGATGCTTGTCAAAAGCTCTGACCGACAACCTTTACTTGTAAAATGAGTCTATAGAGACTACTTACTATCTTATTGATCTTTGTAAAAGTCGCCCCACTCTGTAACTTTCGACGTCGCTGCGACAGGTGGCTGCTCTTCGTTTCCAGATCCACCAGTTATTGGTGGGGGCCGAATTGTCGAGGATGAAGAAAGAAATCTGGTTACGAGATCACGGTAAGCTTGTGCTCTGTCTTCTGCTGTTCTGTCTGCGGCTACTTTGCGGTCCGCGGCTCGCTTTGCAAAACGAGAGGAGACGGGGACCGGCAAATCTGTGTGAACCGTATCATCTGTCCATTCGCTCTCATTTCCGTCGTCAACCGCTCTTTTTGAAGGCCCCGCAGCCCCCAACTTATCGAAGAAAGCATTACCTTGAGGAGCCGGAGGTGGCGGTCCTGGAGGCGGACGTGTTGGTCTTTGAGCGGTGGCTCGGAACGGAGAGACGTATGAAGTCTGGGTGTCGTAGGCTCCACCTGCGACAGATGATGCGGTTCCCGGACGAGGTGCCATTGAAGATCCTCTAAGGGCAGGATGTATAGATTCAGACGGTGGACGCTCTAGACTAACTGTTGACCTGTGATAATCATAGAAATCGATAATAGCGATCAGATCCTCATCATCCTCGATATTCTCCTCTTCATCCACGTTTTCGGGAATCGGGGCCATAGGCTGTAAAGAAGAGGGTTGTTTGCCCTTATCCAAGTCAGATTCACACTCTTTTTGTCGGGCCTCAAATACTTGTTGGCGTAGCTTCGCTTTCTTGATTTGTTGAATAAGTAACAGACTCTTCTTGTACCCAGGATGCTTATCATCGTCCATGCCTCGCTCATGCATCCATCCGTCCAGAAGCTTCAGGATTCGCGGTTCCAGTCTTCGCTTACTTCTACGAGTGAAAGCGGATGCTTCCAAATCATAAAGTGCTTCCGCATTACCACCAATGCGAGCTAGAATGCATGCCTCGCAACCACCTTCGACTGGCGCGTAACTTGGTTCATGTTGAAATATGGCGCGGTAGACTTGGGGCGACATCCAGTAGCCGTTGAGACTATGGAGGCGTCTTATCCAGGCAGTTACATCCTCAGGAAGGTCACCGATGAGGGAGTCCGTGACCAGGGAAGCATTCGCAATAGTGCATTCTCTCACGACCAGGACAAAGAATAAATGGATCAGTTTGGCGTTGAGTACCTTGTGTGTCTTGCAGAGGTGGGCTTGCTGCGGGACTATGTTGAGAGCAGACCCAACTCTGGAAAGACCGCGAGATATCTTAGACCGAAGAAATTGGGCTGGGAATTCTTTCGCGGCCTTTTCTTGATTCTTGAACCATTCTTTAGTCATAGTTTGATCCTTCTCGATGAAAAGAAGTTGGGTAAACCAGTCTATGTCATTGTCCGTGAGGTCGCGAAGCTGGAGCTCGGAGCGACGCCTCAAAATAGAACTGCTACCGCTTAGAATAGAATCGCTGCGGCTCGGAGCAGAACTCATACTTCCAGGTTTTGAGTTTCGAAGAGAGTATTTGTCTTGTTTTTTATGGTAGTGTTGGTCTTTTCTGCAAAGTTGTGTTGAGTGTTGTGTTTCGACACTTCGGAGGTCTAGGATTTATCTTGAAATTATAAAGAATCTTTACTAATATTTTGGATAATTGTTTTTCAAACAAGGATATTGAGTAAAGAGAACATTCCTTTGGTGAAGTTGTCTTTGTTAATTGTCGGGTAAGAGCTTCCTGGTTCTTTGTGTCTCGGTCTAGTCACAATAGAATTGTGTAGACTTTTGATCATCTGTTTCTCATCGTTTCTAGGACGTGCGCCATAGTTACAATAATTCCAGAACCACGAATATAGAGGACTGCAAGTAGATATCAAGCAGAACGGATAATGGAAAATCATGGACTATCAACAAAGCTCTACCCATCAATAGCCAGATCATATCGTGTGCCCCTTGGCCAGTCGCGGCTAGCTGAAGTCAAATGAGAGTGAATTATAATAAGTAATAGGACTACACAGGAAAGCTGGCTGGTAAAACTAGCCCACAAACCGTTTAGTCTGTGAATTTTGTTCCAAATACTGCAAATTGTTTGTAGCCGCTCACCTTGATCTTCTTTGCCGTGTACTAAATGATTGAGTATATTTGGATCTACTATTCGGATAGACATTTGATGATCAAAAGTGTCTTTGTGGCTTCTACCACAGGGCTGAAAGATTATAACCTGTGGGAATATTTACAGTAACAGCGAAAGGGTAGACAAAGCGGGCACGCTCAATCTGAGTCAGCCATATATTTTTCTAGAAACATTACATTTATCACAAGGATGGACCAAATAGTAATCTACTAACAGATGCAACGTGTTGTAGAGTGATTTGAGTTGACTTTTCCAATTTGATCTGATTTTCAAAGTATCTGAGGCTTCTAAAGCCCCGATTTCCACTTAATTTCGTGTACTCAGTTGAAGCGTGACGGTCAACCGTGGAAGCAACAATCTCGCTTCTTACCTCCACCTGCTGAACAATGAAATTATTTATGAGCATTATAATGACAGCTGTTCTGAGTTTGGGATAGATGTTTACGCAGATTTTGCTTATAATCGAGTCGAAAATTGATGTATATTCTTGAACTACTACCTAACCTGTATCCAGAACCCCATCCGTAAAATTTCAACCCATTTAAACAGGTAATCTCAAAATCCTCTCACTGGCATACTCACTTGCTGTAACAATAAGCGCGCTGGGATTAGTGGTGACTTGTCCCGGGAAAATACTCGCATCTGACACAAAAATATTGTCCGTCCCATAAACCTTCGTATCAACATCAACGACGCTTGTTCCTCCATTAAGTGCACTATCTGTTCCCAGCTTCGCCGTTCCTAGCCAGTGATTTGCTCTTCGCGAACCGATGTTTGCATATGTCAAGGGGATAGTCTTAAGGTAATCGGCACCAGAAGTTCCGCTTGCTGGGAGGTTCCATACTAGACCTGGGACTGGCTTAAGCGTCGCGACCATGTTGTCAATCGCTTGCGCTACAGCAGCGAGATCGTTAGGGTCACCATATGGTATGGTGGAAACGACCATATTAAGACCTTTTTGGGTGGTAATCCGTCCTCGAGAGACCTCTCCTCGTCCTAGGTACAAAGAAAGCGTCATGGAATTACCGTTCTCGATACCGTTTGAGCCTTCGACTCGAGCTTGCCATTGCATATGTCGAACAATTCCATCAGGTCCGGTAACTTCTTCCCACATAATTGGGTTGATATTTGGGGCCGCCTGAGCGAGTGGACCGCTTCGTTGAGTCAGGTACTTGGTCTTGTCGTCTTCAATAGGTGTTAGCCATGCTGCAGGCCAGTCGTAATAGCTAACATTTGGGTGAGAAATGACAGTATCGGTGTTTAGGTGATCATTCAAGTTATATCCAACAGGTAGGTTGATCCATTGCTTTTGATCAATCATTGTTGCGCCATCTGTGCTGGACTTAACCACTTCCAATTGATCGGTTGGCCCGATGCCACTTCGAAACAAAAGCTTAGGTGTTCCGAAAGCACCAGCGGAGAGGATAACTCGGCCTTTAGGAGCAAGAGTGACTGTACCACTCCGGCCACCATTGTTGGTTGGAATGACGTTCAGACTTGTGGCGTGACCTCCATCTCGGTTAATTCTTTCCACGCTAGTATTTAGCCAGAGATGGAAGTTTGTCCTCCCATTTGCAGAAACCAGATAAGTGGCCATTGGACCGCCACGTTCTCCATTTGAGAACATATCTGAAATAAGTCAGCTCATATAATTCCCAGATGAAGTGAGGAGGAATGGGCCAGGGGGCTTTCCCTGCAGGTAAACCCCCAGAGGAAAAGGGAAGAAAAAGGGCTCTCACGTGGTGCATGAGCAAAAGTCCTGTTCTTCTCTGCCGGAACATCATTGGCAGTAACACTTTTCCAGCCAGCCGCTGCCAGGCCATCAGCGACAACATCGAAACCAGATTGAAGGTATCTTTTTCCGTCCAATGAGGAGTGATCAGTGCCTGGAATACGCGAAAATACACGTTCAGTCGCTGCAGCCATATCTGAGGCTTTCCAGCCAGCTGGGAAATTGACATCCCAGTCTGAAGGATTTGGTTTCCACCATAGGCCGGCATTTACTGCGGTTCCTCCCCCTAGAATACATCCGGCCATTCTATAAATTGGTATCTTGTGTTAGCAAGCGACACCGAAGAATCATGAATGAAATAGAAGCTAACACTTCTACAAATTTGCACTGGAGATATACATACTGGTCAACATCGGTACATGTAACTCCAGCAGTTCCACCATTCCAAATCCGATTGCACTCTCCAGGAATATCAAACCACGTCAGATTCTGGCCATCTAACCAATGATTTTCTGGTCTAATAGTACCACCCCACCTAGCGCTAGAAGCCACTCCCTTCTCGATAAGCAGTACGGATTTTCCAGACTCTGAAAGCTTGTCCGCCATGGGAATGCCCCCAGCTCCAGCACCAACAACAATATAATCATAGCTTGTTTGAGTAGGGACCGGAATGGAGGAAAATGGTACTGTTGAAGTAGCGGTGCCTATAGCAATGGGCCCCGTAGCGGTTTTTGTCGCCCATTCAGAATAGGATACATGTGTCGCAGATCTTACCTCAACAATGAATACGCCCATACCATTGTCGTGCTGTTCGATGCCGGAACTCGGATTTGTTTTGTCTACCACTTCTTTTGTGCCCTGTGCCCATCCTTGCTTAAAATTCTGTAGACTTGTCGATGTGTTGAATGTGTTTTGGGTTGGCTCGTCAAAAACAAAGCAATTCTGGCATCTGTAAACTAAGACCCAATTCGTCTCGTTTACACTAGAATATATCTGGGTGAGTTTGGCACTTCCGCCATAGGGTTGCGGTGGTTGATATCCCCTAAATATAAGTTTGAACGGGCGCAGACTTTGATACTTCGGGGTCTACATACGTGGCATAGCGGAAGGATGTCGCTACTTGATTCCCAACTCCCGTTGGCCATCCAACTAGTATTAGATGATTTGGCATTGAAGCACCAGAATTATCACCATGCACGATACCACTCCAACCTTGTCCGACCGGAGTTGATCCAATCTAGAATGTTTAGCATCTGATACCACAATATTTAGGTTCCAGGTACACACGATGAGGCCAATATACTCATTGCTATCAAGTGTCAATGCAGTGGGTGGTAATGTCATTCCGAAGGTAAACCCTCCGTCAGAGACCACTGAGTTGTAACCACTTCCCGTGATCTTTCCGTTGGTCTGGTAGCTCGTATAAAACTGAATGCCAGTGGTAGGCTCTGTGTAGGTTCCATGATTGGCGAAATCCTGTGCATCAATGGCACAAAATACTTTTCAATGATCAGAAAGCCCTTCATACCATAGGGATTTTAGAGTTACAACTTACAAGAAACGGTGACACTGAAAACACCAGCGAAAAATCCAGATCTTTTCATATTGAAATAGAAGCAAGTCCACTTGATAAAGTAAAAACCTAAAGATGAATGATGAAAATTGGGAAACTGCCAAAAAGAAAAAGGGAATTTCGACCAACGTACGACCAACTTACATAGGTAAAATCCTACCCCTTCCCTCGGCTTACCATAGTAAGCACAGCAGGGTAATGACTTTAAGCTCACCTGCACACCATTGAACTGACATTTCAAATGCCATGAAAGTCCCATATGGCATCCCGCAAATCTCCTAATTTGAAAAAACGCGGGGAGCATGAATACAGTATCACAATTAATATGATCAGTATTCAGCCTCCAAGGGGTCACAAGTTCAATGGAGTGCTCCCCGCATTGTGGATAATGGTGCATTAAATGGCTGATTTCCCCCTTTATTATCAGAACGGCGTAAAAGGCGGGAGGCAAACATAAGCGGCTTCTCATCCAATCGGCGCCTACCAATCATCGAACGGGAATTATTCAGTTCCCCGAAATGTAACCTCGTGATAAAATTTCGTCACTATACCGACAGGATAAAGAAACGATATCCATGGGTGTGTTTTGTCAATGTTGTATTTTAATGAGATTGTAATTTAAATGTTCAGCTTTGCTGAAAACAGACCTGCATCTGCCGTTCGTCTCCGATGACAGGCTGGAGGGTTGGATTCCTTGTGATACCCCAAAGCATAATTGGAAATTTTTGACTAACTTGGTAGTAAGTTTTACTCTTAAGCAAGGGACTATGTTGGACTCGGTACTCACGCCAATCAAAATTAAGTAAAGTAATAGGATACCACTTCCTAAACCTAATTAGGACGTTCTGCCTAACGTTTTCTGAGGTGTTACGGAGTAAGGGATAGCTTTTCGATATCATGAAGTCTGTAGAATCGTATATCTTAGTCCTTCTCGACGGCGCACGAGAAGCAAGCTTGCGGGAGGAAGGAAAGCGGATCTAGCAGTCCTGTTGGAATTGAAAATGAACCTTTCACCCGTTAGTCTGCTGTTTTCACTAATCGGCCGAGGGTCGTTTCGGAGACTGCGGACCGAGAATCGGAGTCGGTAGATATTAATCCAATCACCCATCACAGAGTTGGACAATGACAACACTCCTAAATTCTAAACTTCTATATTTCTCAAAAACTTATTTGGTCAAGGTTGATTGACCAGAAAATATATCCACCTATCCAAGTATTTCGTCCAATAGTTTCATGTATGGTTATTTCTCCAAACTGCCAAAACCCCTGATTTCAACGTGTATCCATCAGGCACGTATTTCTCTAGATAAGTACATAATAACCATTTCTTGAACACAATTGGTGCATTACCCAAAACATTTTTTAAAAAAATGGAGATGGATAGGGGTCTGAGCGCCATACAATGAGTGCATATAAGGAGGCTCTGCCTCCCACTTCAACTTCTCATACCTTTCGCACTTTCATTAGACTCTCTTTTTCCCCACGCACCGTCCCTAATACAAATCACAGGGTTTCTTTGTATTTAGCACTGCCTGTTCAGTTAGTTAGTCTTTATCTGTACAGTCCGTCATAGTCTCTCACTTAGTAAGGTCCTAGGACAGTCACAGGCTCTGGAGGTTTCTTTGAGTTTGCTTGCCAGCCATTCAGCTCATATGCCATGCTTACTAAGCACCATATGCCCCTGGTCAAGCTGCTCTAGAGCCTGATTCCTGCCAAACATAAAAGATGTTTTAAAAAAGCTCGTTCCATAAGTGAGAACTCAAGTACAAGCGATCAGAAGGAAATTAAGTAGATCAGGTATAGATACTATTGGGTTGAAAGGGCATTGGGTACTGAAGGTCATGGAGAATTGATTGCATTGTAAAAGGTAGCTATCTAAGGTGTTTATAGGCTGGCAAAGTCGGATCTCTCACCTGTACGTGGTGCCAGCTACGAACTGGTGATAGATACCTTTTGGTATTCATCTGAGCTGAGAGAGAACGCAATACGACGACGACGAGCCCTTCACCCTCACCGCCGCGACACCGTCCAGCGAAGGATATCCGCGACAGCACGATTAGAGACGACTCTACGTATAGCATAACCAACTGCTCAGTTTTTGTAACCTTTACTACGTTATTTACGATCTCTTTCGCAGCTAAGGACGAATCCGCCATCGCAAAATCAGAGTTTTCACCCCCACTTTGACGAAATTTATTCTCTTCTACACGATCGCACCTTGGCTGGCCATGGAGGGAACCCCTTTCAATGGGCTTATGGCGCTCCCACGCCCTTCGCAATACTAGGGAACTAGGCCAGAGGCTGTCAAATAACAATTTCATTCTCTACAATTACGACTATTCTGGCATTGTATCATGTCTCGACCTGCGGCTTGGGAGGAGATATAAGGAGGATATTTGGAGAGTAGAGGAGTTACGAAGGCACACATAGATACCTGCCCCTGAGCGACAGAAATCGCTAGATTTCTGTGTCATGCTGGTTTTCAAGTTTTTCCTGGCAGGGCAGTACACGCAAAGGGCTAGAGTTTGTCTAGCTGGTGGGAGCAATCGACGGGGTAACCAACTCCCTTAAGTACTGTGCTAAATGGATATCTATGGGGCTCTGTGCTGTTGATGTGGTCATTGTAATTAGACAGAGAGAAGATATACTGCCTGAGGCCAGGTATCTTTGGCTCGAGCAGGAAGGCTCAAGTGTTCTACATAGTCTCAGACTGATACAGAACAATATTCTCTTATCTAAGGTGTTTATAGGCTGGCAAAGTCGGATCTCTCACCTGTACGTGGTGCCAGCTACGAACTGGTGATAGATACCTTTTGGTATTCATCTGAGCTGAGAGAGAACGCAATACGACGACGACGAGCCCTTCACCCTCACCGCCGCGACACCGTCCAGCGAAGGATATCCGCGACAGCACGATTAGAGACGACTCTACGTATAGCATAACCAACTGCTCAGTTTTTGTAACCTTTACTACGTTATTTACGATCTCTTTCGCAGCTAAGGACGAATCCGCCATCGCAAAATCAGAGTTTTCACCCCCACTTTGACGAAATTTATTCTCTTCTACACGATCGCACCTTGGCTGGCCATGGAGGGAACCCCTTTCAATGGGCTTATGGCGCTCCCACGCCCTTCGCAATACTAGGGAACTAGGCCAGAGGCTGTCAAATAACAATTTCATTCTCTACAATTACGACTATTCTGGCATTGTATCATGTCTCGACCTGCGGCTTGGGAGGAGATATAAGGAGGATATTTGGAGAGTAGAGGAGTTACGAAGGCACACATAGATACCTGCCCCTGAGCGACAGAAATCGCTAGATTTCTGTGTCATGCTGGTTTTCAAGTTTTTCCTGGCAGGGCAGTACACGCAAAGGGCTAGAGTTTGTCTAGCTGGTGGGAGCAATCGACGGGGTAACCAACTCCCTTAAGTACTGTGCTAAATGGATATCTATGGGGCTCTGTGCTGTTGATGTGGTCATTGTAATTAGACAGAGAGAAGATATACTGCCTGAGGCCAGGTATCTTTGGCTCGAGCAGGAAGGCTCAAGTGTTCTACATAGTCTCAGACTGATACAGAACAATGAAAGGAATAATAAGGTGTTTATATAAAGATTGTAAGGTTTAGGCAGACATGAAGCATTTAGGCAGCAGAACTATAAGTGGATCAAATAAGGAAGTGGAGCAAAAGAGAAAGTAGACCCAGCACAACAGATACTTATGTCTAAAGTATATGCGAGGTAAGATTATCATAAGAATACGTCACCCCAGACATTTCTAATAAACTCTGATATTGCGCATTTCATCGCTTTTTCAAGGATTTATAATTGTAACACAGAGCTCCTGGCTCAGAACTAAACAATCTCTATACCCCGTGTGACTTATGTCATCCAGGCACGAAAGCCTATTCTGATATTATAGCTCTTCAATAAATTTGTAGCATCGACGATTTAAACCCGCATGAATTATATGTATAGAATTCCCCAAAAGCGTAAATGAGAACGAGTTCAATGAAAGAAAAGACCGACGTGGTATAACAGAAAGACTGAAGTTCCGAACTTTTCATATGTCTCACAATATTGCCTGGAAAGATTAAGTCGTATAGTGACAATGGCAATTGCATTTTCCCTTTTGATACTCGCTATCTCCAGAACTCCAACAATACAAAAAGATAGCGATTCAGTCTATCAAACCAAGACCTAAAATACACGACCCACCACCAAAAGAGATCAACAAAAAGCCCCAGCCTTCCCCCCTAATCCAGCCTGAACCTTACATCCTACCCCTCACGCCCCCACCAAGCCCCCCCACAACCCCCCCCCAAATAAAACC